ATAAATAAAACATTACTTGAGTCTACAAATAGAGCTATACATTTAATTCACCAACATGTAAAATATTGACCAACAAATACAAAGATTTTAAAAATACATATTTAAAAGCACTACAGTTAAGAATTCTGTTGAGTTCTGCATGATAGGGAGTCCAATCAAATAAAGGGCATAACCACTTAGAGAAAAGCAACACGAAATGAAAGTTTCCATGCCAGCGGAGGACACGGATATACAGTGGACATGTGACATCCACAAGGAAGAGTCACACAGAACAGAAAATGAAAGCTCTGCAAAGAAGAAAGGAAAAATCTCACAAAGACAGAAACAAAAGAAAGCAACTTTCATGGTATCTCATGTAGACATTCAGGAATTGTCACCAAATAGTTTGAAAATTGGGATACATTTTCCCCAACTATAGCTATAAATGAGAAGTTAGCCTTGAGATTTGTCTCGTAAATTAAATGAAATTAAGCTGTGAGCCAGATGTTTCCCATCTGTGCTTTAGATTATCCTAAACGTAAAAGTCATTATAAAGCACCCCATACGACTCAGTGTTGAGTGTATATTTAAAAAGTCAGGTGACATAATCTCCCTTAGACTTCAGAACATTTTAATTTATTTTTGATGTCAGAATTTTGATAGGTAATGAAAAAAGTTCAGGTGAACAGTTTCACTGTAAAGTAAACTTTTCTGAAAGACAGAATCCTCATAATGCTGAAACAACTTTTTGAAAAGAGAAAATTGCAGATTTTCCATGTGGTATCAGACTAAGAACTGGACTTCCTCTCAACTGAGTTCTGATATTAGACAGACAGAATGTTTTCGTTAACACAGTGTATGTATGTTGTGCATAACTACTGCAGTTCACATGCAAAGACTGGATTATGAATTAAATAGCCCAAGAGAAATTAAACTTTAAATAGTCACTAAAGACATGAAGGAAAAAATGTATGAAGTCTAGAAAGGGAAGTCATCACACTGTCAGCATGAAGCTCACTACACTGTATCAACCATGGACAAATCTCCGGTTAGAAATTAAGAAATTGTAAAAACTACTGAGAAACTCTCAAAAAAACAGTTGCAGTGATCCATAGCTGATTACATCTTTGTTGAACACATATCACTTATTCATTATGGGAGCATTATGTAAGTTATTTTGCAATGCCTTCAAGTTGATTTTGAACATGTCTGTCCCTGGTGACATATCAAATTCTTATAAAACAATCAAGCGAGGAGCAATTGACATCTTCATGCAAAAAATGTGTTGAGTCTGAACAACAGTGGAGAAAAATTCACTGACTAAATTACATATATGACTGGCATATGAATTAGTTTACTCTTCCAGTGGCTGGGTAACAGAATATGTCCTTTCAGTGTATTAATCTAAATATACCTCCCCCGTCACACGCATCCATCTAAATGTGCACTTCACTTTCCCTACTTTCTCCAGCTGTGTCTGCATGGAGCATTTCAACGCTGCCCTGGGTCTGACGCGGAGCCCTCTATGACGCAAACCACAGGAACATAATGATATTTAACAGAACATAATTATGACTAGTTTTGAGTGGCCTTCAATTTGGAACATTAGAAAAGTATAATTATGTTTATTTTAAAGGAAAGTGTAAGGTCTAAATCTGACCCCACGGCACAGTATATTTTGATGAGTATTGTCAATTTACCTTAAGCTGTCTTTATGTAAATATGATGAGGTAACTCAGGTAAAAGTGGGTTGCGATTTTAGAGCCCTAGACAGCTTACTGTTTGTGTGGATTTGGAGTCCATAGCCACTGCTGTAACAACATTCTGTGAAACTCCCACAGAACCAAAACAAACCGGAAACACCAAGGTGCTGCATTAAATGGATTGTTTTAAAACCCACGGTATTAAAAAAGACAACAGTGCAAGTTGGGGTGAAAGCTCTTTTCCACAAATGTCATCATTTCAAATAGGATTCAGTAAGAAGTAGGCTCAGCAAGATAAACTTTTTACTTGCTATGTCTTGTTTGATTCAAGAAAAATAATTTAAAATAAGAAAGGTCTTCAGAAAGTCCATGGAAATGCATGTTACAGAAAAACCCTGCAGGGACCTCAATAGTTTTTCATGTAAATAAACATATTTTAACTCAATTTTCCCATGAACTTTTTGAAGTTCTTAGTTTTAAGCTCTGTCTAAATCTAGAAAAGGCTAACATGGAGATGAACAGCACAGTTGTACTTTCTTTAACATAATTAACCTTCATTCATAATCAGAACTATTAAGAATTAGTAGAAAGAATATATTTGCACAATTTTTTCTTGCCATGAAGTTTTACTATGATCAGAAACTCACAACTCCAAACTAGCTAATTTACTGCTAATGCAATTTCTCTGCTTCCAAAATGGTTCCTTTATTCACACAAAGTTTATGCTTTGCTAAAATAAGACACTGTACCATAGTAGTCTGTAACCAATACAATTGATTAATTGTTTTTAAATAACCTAAAATGTCTACTGACATTTGACACAGTCATTAACATTTTCTTCAATTAGTTTTTAAAACTTTCGTGTGCTGAGGCCTTTAAGGAGAGCCTTCTATAAAGTTGGTGGTTAAACTTACTTTTTTGATGTTGGTAAACTCCAATTAAAAATAAATTTTAGTTTATAATTAATAGTAATTTGCTTTTAAACTTCATTTGAATTTCATTACATTTTCTATTATGAGTGTGCTAATTTATGTCTAAGTTATGCACACAATTAGTTCTTGCATACTGATGTATTTTAAAGTAATTTTTAAAGTCCTAAGTGGCACTCTGGTTGTAGTTTTATGAAACAAATAAAGCACACAGCAGCAGACTAAATTTCAACAGCTTGTAAACTCTAATACATTTCTGCATCATCAAACTCGCATTTCCCAGCATTTGTTAGCTTATTTTCAGTACCAACATAAAATGCTTCCCTATCCTTGGACAACACTAAAACGACTGGATAAGGACATATACTTTTTTCCCTAAAGTAATTGGAACACAGATTTGCAGTGGTAAAATGAGCAACAGTCTTTGAGCTGTACCAAGTTCATCTAAAGACCATACTTTTACCACATTGTAAAACTCTGCACGTTCGTTAAGTGAAACCATAAGAAAGTGATTTTGTCATCAAATGACTTTGTTCTGCTTTTAGAAATTGTATTACATTATTTTTGGTAAATTCCAAATATTTTATCTAGTTTTTCTCTTAATAATCAAAATTATATATATAATTACCTTCAACATATAATGTATTCAAATATTAAATTTGATACACTTTACCTATTTTTTTTTCCTCTGAGCAGCCACAAAGTTAAAGTTCTAAGGGAACTTGATCTTCAACACTTCATCTGTTTGGATACTAAATAAATGATCATAGCTGTCAATAAGAGGTAGCAGATTGATTTCAAAATTGCCATTTTTCTTTCCATATCAAGGCTTCTGCCCACATGAGATAATCACTTCAAAATCTCAGAGTCCAAAGCCCTTGATGTTTTCACTCTGCCAAGGCCTCTCCTCTTTCCCATCACCTGCCAAAAGACTTTGTCCGACTGAAGTTGATCCCAAGGCATGGCTCAGAAGTGAGAGTGGGTTTTTGCAACTCTCCACGCTGATTTATACATCTGCGTGTGTCTTCTTAAACTAAACCAAGATGGTTGATTGATTAGAATTGGTTCAGATTAAGGTTACACATGTGGATGGATATTAATGTTAGTATCTAGCAACTTCTTCTTATTGCTTGCAAAACTGCCACACCCTTGAAAATTTAACCCGAACCGCTTTTCCCAGGGAAAGAACTGGGAAGACTCACATTCTAATCTGTCATTAAATAGAACTGTGCCACCACATAGTTCCAAAAGGACTATGTATTTACTATCTTGTCCTGAGTTAGAGTCACGATGCTGTTTCTAAGGAATATAAAAAGTAATTTCCCTCTCAATTATGTAGGTTTGCGTTCTACTTGACCTGGATCTCAAGAGCAGCCCCTCCCTTCAGTCACCCTTAAGTTCCATCGACTTACATACACGTCTTTTACACGAAGAGTTTACTCAGTGCCACGCACATTTGGCATTAACGCTGCTTACTTAACGTTATTAACACATTTTAGAACATTTCCTGCTTGTTGCACATTCTAAAGCAGAAGCTGTAACTGCTGATTAAGTTTTCAGTTTGAGTTTAAAACGCAAATACCCGAAACCATCGAGCTGAGATCTGAAAACACACCTGTAAACTTTAACACTTCACATTTGAGAGGAAAGTGAGAAATCTAGATGAAAATGTTCTATTTCCAAGTTAATGAGTATCCCTGGCTCCTCCCTGAGACATCTTCGTATACTTCAATGATTTTTTTTTTGTTTAATTTCCAAGTCAAACTTCCAGGCCTAAGCAGAAACCTCTAGGTGGTCAGTGTGAAACAGGACTTGGAAAGCTCTCCACAACAGAGGCTAAGACAGAAGCAAGCAGCACCACGCCGGGTATCCCGAGGGGGCTGAAATGCTGAAAGGGCGCCTCAGGAGCTGCTATCTTCTTGGTTCTGCCTGGTAAGCACCGACCTGAACAGGGTTTCCCAGTTTCTCGGTCACTCTCCAGATCCCCCAGGGTCGCCAGGGTCTCCCCAGACACGACCACGGCGGACTGCGGGGAGAAAGCTCAGCCCCCGCGGGACCTGTCCCGAGAGCACCACCAGACTGAAAGCAGAGGAAATCTGCCGGATCCAAAGACCGCAGACTGCGTGAGCGGGCAGCAGGTGCCCAACGTGTGTGAGAAACCCGGGCGTCCAGGGCGAAGTCCCAACGCCGCGCGACAGCTCGGAGGTCCTCGCTCAGGCCTTTTCCAAGCCAGCCCTGCTTCCATCCTCGCACCCTGCGCGCTCGCCCAGAACTGCGAGCACCGCACCCGCCTCCGCCCCAGGCCGCCCCTGGGAACTACGCGGATCCTGCTGAAACCCGACCTCGCCGCACAGCCTCCCGGAAGAAGAAAAGATCAAACGAGACCGGCTCAGCGGGGTCTTCCCGAGGTGACCCCGGAGTGAACGTAATTTATTTTCACGCTGCAACTGCCGATCGCTTTACAGAGACATATCATGCTGTAGCTCTGCGAGGAGCCGAGGACAAAAGGAACTTTTTTGTTTTATTAACGTTATAATTATTATATTCTTTAACAAAGCTATTAAATAACCTGTACAAAGCCCGAGCCGGTCCTAGCGAAAACCCGAGAACTGTCTGAAATCTCCCCAGGTCCCTGCGTTTTAATCCAGCAGCGTTTCCTATATACAAGGTCAGCCCAGGGTGGGCGCCCCCAAACTGCAGGTCCCCCAGACGGCGAGATTGGGTCAGAGTTTGAAGCTGCTCTGGTGTGATTGTGATGCAGGGTTCCCAAACCTGACCCAAGCGCCTTCGGGTCCCTACTCTACCTCCTCCGCGCCTCCTGGGCACCGGGTCCCTGTGTCCGAGCGCCGAGCAAGCCCACAGCCTGGCTCCTCTTTGGGAGGCGGGCGGCGGAAAGTGGTCTGCTGAGTCTCCCCCGGGGACAGCTGCGTCCAGGGCCCCCGGGACCCCCCGCAAAAGTACCAGGAAGGGGTCCCGAGACGGGAGCGGCCTTCCGGGGTGCTCCCAGGGTGGGCTCACAGGTCCCGCGGGTTCTCCCGCTTCACCCCGGCCTCGGCTACCTTGAGCTTCTTATTTTGGTGCGTCTTGACGTGCTTGGCCAAGTGGTCGCTGCGCATGAAGCGCTTGCCGCACTCGGGGCAGGCGAAGCGCTTCTCGCCCGTGTGAGTCCGCAGGTGCCGCTGCAGCTCGTCCGAGCGCGTGAAGCTCTTGCCGCAGAAGAGCCAGTTGCACACGAAAGGCCGCTCGCCCGTGTGCCAGCGCAGGTGCGCCTTCAGGTGCGACGTCTTGCCGTACACCTTGCCGCAGCCCGGCACGTGGCACACGTGCTGCTTCTTCTTGCCCGGCTCCGCCTCGGGGGCGCCGCCCGCCGCCTGGCAGTTGGGGCAGCGGCAGCGGCGGCACCTCCTGGCCGTGGCCGCCAGGGGAGCCTTGGTCTGCAGCAGCGCTGCGATCTGGCTCTGGTACTGCGCGAAGTCCGACGGGCCCAACACCAGGCCGCGTTGCAGGGCGGCGGCGGCGGCGGCCGCGGCCGCAGCGGCTGCCGAGGCGGGGAAGCGCGGCGCGTGGGGGCCCCCGGAACAAGCACCGGGGAGGCCGCCCCCTGGAACTCCGGAGGCCCCGGCGCCCGTCTGCGGGATGCTCCACCACGGTAGGTCGTCGGGGGCCGGATTGGGGGACAGTTGGCGGCAGGTGGGCGGTGGCGGCGGGGGCGGCGGGGGCGGCGGCGGTGGAGGCGGCGGGGGCAGCAGGTTGGAGTAGCCCGGGGGCAGCGCGGCTTGAGCCGCGTACGGCACGTAGGCGGGCGCGCAGCTGGCGGGCAGGGCCGCCATGCTCGAAGGCAGCATCTTGACTGGCGAGAACTCGTAGGGGTACGAGGGGTCGGCAGGGGGTGTGAGCGGCAGCTCGTGCGCAGCCCCGAAAGACGGCTGCAGGTGCGTTTTCTGCGGCGTAAGCCCCAGGCTGGGGTGTGGGGGCGGCAGCGCGCCGGGAGAGTGCGCCGGCATGTCAGCGGTCCACGGGTGGAAGAGCCTGGAGGGCGAGCCCAGCGCCGGGTCGTAGGGCACCTGCAGGAAGTCCGCGGGCGCCGCCGCGCCCGGCTGGCCGATCCGGCTACAGGTGGCGGCCAGCAGCGCCAGGGGCGAGTGCTTGCCCAGGTCCGGGGAGGCGCTGGGGGTGCGGTCCTGCATGGGCGGCGGCGAAGGAGGGCGGAGAAGAAGACAAAAGGTTAGCGCTCTGAGCGCGGACTCGGGGCAGGCCCGCCGCCCCCACGCCCGCTCTTATACCGCGCCCCTCCTCCGCGCCCGGCCGTCCCTCCCCCGTCACCGCACCCCACCACGCAGCCACCGGCCCCAAGAAACTTTTGGTGCCTGCGCTACCTGCAAGCGGGGCTCGCGAGTGCCTCCTGCTAAACTACTCGGGGCAAAGAGACGCACGCCATCCAGCCTCGGAGGAAGCGGGCGCAAAGCCGGAGGGGCGGACCCGACGGGCCGCCCGGGGCTCCTGGTCGGGGAGTCTGAAAACACCCACAGCCCGGCTGCCCGTGCGCCCCCCTTCTGCCTTTTCAGCGCTTTTTACCGCGCTGCCCTCGCGCTCCTCCCCTGCCGGCCCTGCGCTGAAGTCGGCAGGACGGCCCGGCCCAGCTGGGTGAGCCCGGGCCCTGCTTTTGGACCGAACGCGCACCTCGGCACCAGCTCTCGTCTCCCTGCGTCCCTCCCCTGACGGCCACACTCCGGACACCAGGTTAAGTGTGAAGTTAGTGTCGGCGCCCCTAGGTCTGACGCTGGCCGCCCTCGCGCCGAGTTCCAGGCGCGGTCGGACCGCCGCCTTTGCCACCTCTCCCCCGCCGCCCCGAGCCCGACTCTGACCTGGAGGAAGGCCTGCAGCGAGTCGTTCCGGAGGACGGCCACGGCGGCCATGGCTACAGCTTGCAGGCCGCGGGCTGCCGAGCGGGGCGCCGCCGCCGAGGCATGGACGCCCGAAGGCGAGGACGAGCGGCCGCCCAGCGTGCCTCCCCGGCGCCCGCTCCGCGCGCCGGGGCCCTCCCCGCCCTGCGCCCCGCGCCCCGCGCCCCTCGCCGCGCCCCGCTCGCTCGCCCCGCGCGCGGTCTGAGCGCTTCAGGATCACCTCCAAGAATTTGATAAGGACTTTGCTGGGCCGCCAGCCAGTCAGAGGGAAGATTTATGGCTTTGAAGTTTGCCGCTACCCAATCATCAAAGAATAGCGGCTCTTTCAGAAGCGAAAGCAAATCCTTTGAATCCACAAAGCTCCTATGGTGTGTTTGTTGGTCTGGATAAAAGAACTGATTATTAGGGGGATGGGAAGGGAGGAGATAAAGGCGGGACAATTAATGAAGTAATCACTATGTGGGAAATGTATATACACAAATAATTGGATTTTCCTGATCAAAGGGGGCCTTGCCGCCTGGAGACTAGCGCTTGGGTTGCTCGAGACACTCGATCCCCCCCCCCCCAACACACTTGCAATTAAAGATTTGCACCAAAGCAGCGCCCCAAGTGACAAAGTGTCTTTGTTATCTCTAGAAAAATCTGCTCCAGCTTCCAGGCGCGGGCCTGCGCGAGGGGCAAGAGGCTGACTCTCCCCAGTGCATACACACCTTGGGCTAACCAGCACAACCCCAGCACCCGCCCGCACACGCTGCGGGCCCAAGCGACTTCCCAGGGCGGGGCGTGGGACCAACCGCACCCGGTCGGCCGCGTGTCCCCCACTCGCTGCGATGAAGCCGGGGGCAGGACTGCGACCCGGGGCGGGGCCGGGCGGCCGCCCAGTGCGGGCCGTGGGTGGCGCGCACGCTCCAAGGCTGCCAGCTCCGACAGCAGCCCGGCCCTCCGGTGACGCTCCTGCCGGCGACAAGAAAGTTTTCCTCGGGCCACAACTTCTGCAAAGAATGAGCCTGGGAAAAAGCACCGACTCTGCGCTCGCCCCCAAAGCTGGGCTTGGCCGGACCCCCGGAGCGATCCTTGACTTAGACCCGGGAGGTCATCGTGCTCACCCGGCCCGGCAGGCTGGCGGCCCCGCACGCTGAGGGCTGACGGCGATTAGGCCCCACAGAGAGCCCGCGGCGCGGCGGGTCGTTTCTGTCCCCAGACCCCCACGAGGGAGTACTTGCTCTGGCCAGCGGAACAGACCCACCCGGGAAATGCCCAAAAGAAGGCAGGCAAGGACGCCTTTTTTGTTGTGGTTCAACAAACTACAGATCATACGAGGTTGGCCCCTGAAGAGGAGAGAAAAGTCAATATAAACTTTTCCTATCACCTTTGGAAAGAAAAGACAATTCTTGCCTAGGCGCGGGGCATGCTTCGCCAGGGGCAGAGAAGCGCCCTCCAGGGCGGCGTGTTGATTCTAAATTCTCATGGCCACCCACGTTCAGGCGAGGAGGGTCAGTCAGCAGCCCGCCTCCCTCCGGCCTAGGGTCCCAGGCCCTGCGAACACCGTGTCCTGTAATCCCGAGAGCGGGATGGGAAGGAGAAAGGGACTAGTGGAGCACCTCACCAATCTGGGGGTCCGGAACGGCCTCTGGGGCTCCCAGCCATGCTGGTGTAACCGCACAGCAGAGTGGACCGCCAGAGCTTGGCCTAACCTGGTGCTCATCCAGACGCGATCTCCCGTCTCCCGGGGATCCCCACACTAGCCCGTGCCTTCCTGTGCGTGGGCCTTCCGCGAACCGCACTGCAATCAGGACTGCCGTGAGAGGATGAGCGGGTGGCTCGATGCGGCACCCGAGGTTAGCCTAAGTCCTTGGGATTGGAGTCAGAGCTGTGTGTCGGTGCCCTCGCAAATCCATCAGAGGCGGGAGCAGATGGACCCACTTTGTCGCCCGGGCCGCGCCAGGAAATGGGAACGTCTTACTGGGTCCCCGCACACGTACTCGCTCTTGCTCCCCAACAAGGCATGGAGCGGGGAGCAGTGACCTCACAGCCCGGCCTACTCAGCCCGGGAGGGGTGCTCTAGGAGCCGGCAGCGGGAGAGGGCTTTGGGTTTGCTCCTGGTCCTGGCAGCCCCACGCCTGGACTGGGAGTCGAGTCTCGGGAAAGCCTGGGGGCATGATGGAGCCCTTTCACGGGGAGCCCCGTGGCGCACACTCTTGCATGCAGACCCACACCCTCCAGGCTGGTTCTGCTCTTTTGAGGTCTTCGCGCCCTCCTTTCACCGGAGGCAGGCCAGGCTGGGATCAGCTTGAAGTCACCTATGAACAGTTTCCCCCAAAAGGTAAGAAGATCCCATTCAGAGCCCAGTCCATAGTTCTAGGAGTTAAGTTTGCCCCCCATTAGCCAATAAAACCACCATCAGTGGTGAATTGCCGGGCGTTTTCCTGCCTTGGCACTTTTTAGTTGGTGATGTCGGCAAACATGTCACCCAGCGTCCCTGTGCCTGGAGCCCATTTGTTAAGAAGAGAGTTAAATAGCACGCCCCTTGGAGACTTAAAATAGTGACTCTCAGTGAACCAGAGGATGGAGGACACCCTCTGTGTGTGTGTGTGTGTGTGTCTCTGTCTCTGTCTCTCCCTCTGTGGTTCTGCCTTTCAAATAAATAAATCTTTTAAATAAAGGGGGGGGGGGCTCTCAGCAATGTTTCTGCGACCGTGCTGGGCTCCCCGGAGGTCTCCCCCCACCCCCCCACCCCATGCATACACCGCGCGCCGCCGTCGCCGCTCTTTGCCTCCTCCCCATTAGTGACAACCCCCTTGGATTCCTGCCCTTCCAGGTCCCAGACGAAGCTAGTAGAAGTTTGCGGAACTGCTACTTAGCCTCTCTCTCTTCCCACTTGGAGCGCCAGAAAAGCTTCCTGATGAAGTCATGTTCGGGGCGTCCATTAAAAATGCAATGCCGGAAGATCAAAGCACAATGTTTATTTTAGAAATTTGTTAACAATCACCAAGAGATACAGGTATCAAGGCCAAATGTCAGTTCCGCGGCACAAAGCCCCGCGCCGGGGAAGCGCGTGCGGCTGCTCTGCCATCGTGTGAAGAGACATCAAAGGCCCGGCGCGCCGCAAAAGTGCGCAGCCGAGAGCGAACGAGCGAGCCCGGGAGGGCCGGGCGCGCCCCAGCCCGCGCGGGGGCTGCGGGGGCTGCGGGGGCTGCGGGGGCTGCGGGGGCTGCGGGGGCGGGGGTCAGTTCAAAGAGGTATCCGCTGGAGCGCGAGTTCACAGGAGGGACGATTTAATGGGCTTTCTTTTGTTGGTGGGTGTGTTTGTGCACCGCGGACCCAGGAACTCCTACGTGGTCCTCCCGCCCGGGGGCGGAGGTGGGGGAGCGGCGAATGGGGAGCAAACTTTCACCACTGCGGGCGGGGGCGAGGGAGGTTGAATACCGGTCTCCTGGCGGCGGCTGGCACAGCGGAGCCGCTGTCCAAGCAGCTCTCCAAGAAGCAGCGGGGTTCCAGGCTGGGAAGTTTGCATCACAGTTTCTACGCGGGCAGGCGGCAAGAGCCGACCCGGTGCAACCTGCGAGCTGAGGCGGGTAGGTAGGGGAACCCGCAGAGGCACTTGCGCCAGGGCACACCTGCTCTGCGTGCTCAGGGATCAACCCGGGACCAGTACGGGATCGACTCTGGGACTGCTTCGCTTCCAAGCCTGGGACTTTGCCTCGGGCTTTTTCTTCCAGCAACCGGGGACCCGCGCCTGTGGCATAAATCCAAGCAGGCATTTACTCCTCTCCGATTGATTTAAATTAAAAAAAAAAAAAAAAAACATTATTTAGGTCATTGCAACAAAATCTCATTGGCCTTTTAGCAGGGTGTTGCTTCACTGGTTGGATCTTCCCTCTTCCCCTACCCAGGTCTTTTGCTTGCAACTGCCCAGTAAATCCAGTACCGGTCATTGCTTTTAAAAGGTGCTGGCAGGCCGGGGACAGTGACCCTCGTGCTAATGGGGCACCGAGTCCCGGGAGGATGCTCGTGCATTTCTTCAGCCATCTACAACCAAGTATTCTCAGAGCCTTCCCCGGCAGCCTTTTGAAGTCATGCTACAGCAGAAAGCTGCTATTGTTCTCAGCTCTCTACAAGGAAGGATCAAACTTTGCCTTCTCAATTTGGAAGTTTTTTTCCCCCTTTGGTGGGGGAGTAGAGGGATTGCAATCTGATACTCTCTAAGTGAATTTTGAGGATTTGAAGCAGGCTCCTAGCAGACCAAATCCCAGACGCCCTAACACCTGCATCTGAAATAGGGCTCTTCCTCTGGAATGGGGAGGATCATTCAGCACAGTTAAAATGCTGGGAACCTGATTTGGTGACCAAATTTTCCCTTGGAAAGTTTGCTTTCCAAGGAAATGTGAGCATTTCCTCACCTGGAAACCCTGAATTAATTTTAGGCTTAAACTTTCAAATCAGACCCTTACACAACGGATGCAGAACAAGGAGAGGGTCTTTATCGCACCCAGTTCTACTCACTTGATGGCAAACAGCATTTGTGTGCTATACGTGACACACGCACAGTGTTGTGGACCTGAGTAGATGCCCTGTAAATGCGGACTTGTGTGTGCCAGCGTCGTCTGCATGATTATCGTCTGGTACTCCTTAGTACACAGTGGGAACTCAGAGGAGAGAGGACCGGTGAGGGCTGCGGAAGCCAAGGGCAGCTTTGGCCAGGAGCTAGCTGGGCTCTGAAGGAGGCTTTAAGGACTTACAGAATTTTAATATGGAGGTGAGAAAGGAACAGCGAAGGAAATAGAGCCCCCCTTTCATTGTGAAACTGAAGGGTTGGTGTTTGGATTTCCTAGTGGAGGCAAGGTACGGCCAGATTAAAGAAACCAAGGAGAGGAGTTTACCCCCAGTGCTGTATGCTGTAGGAATTTATCATAGGCTCCAAGCTAGGTGAATAATGTGGATACAATTCCATTTCTGAAACCTGCCCTGGGAGGGTTGGTGTGTAAAGAGCCTGGAAGGACAGATGAACATACAGTTCTCCAGGCATGAGTTGAGGAAGGCTTTGGAAACTGGGAATGAAGGGGCGACTCAGCATTTTAAAGGGAAAAACAGCAAATTTGGTGACAGTTTGGAATAAGAGATGGAATCACAGGAAAACTCAAAAGGATCCCTCTTTTGAACAAATGATGGTGGCACAACTAGATATCCACATGTAGAAGATGAAGTTGGGGATGAATGAGGGTGTAGAATACTCATATAGATGCATATATACAGTAGAATACTATACCACTGAGGGGGAGAGAGGTTGATTAGTGGGTACAAAAATCACAGTTAAATAGGAGGAGTAAGTTCTGTGTGAATGGCACAGTAGGTGACTAAACAATAATTATTGTGTATTTATAATATATAACATATTGTGTGTATATTGTGTATATATAAAATGCATATTTTATATACAATAATTTATTGTGTATTTCAAAATG